TCAAGGAGTTAATTAAACAGGCAATTTCACAAAGTGACATGTGAATCTATTGAAAGGCTATTATAAAATTAAGACCTGACTTAGAGGTAACGTTTCCATCTCCAAGTAACAAGCTAATGTACTCAAGCAGTTTAAGAAAATTTTACCTAAGAAGCAGATCCTTTCTTCCTAGAGGAAGTAAAGTTCTTGGGTCAAATAATTTGGACTCAGCAACCTCTTTCAAACTGTTCTGAATATCCTGTCTCAGTCCTGCAACCAGCTCAAAAAAGACAGACAGAAATCAGGTAGACAAAGGAGAATTAAATAGCTTCATGCGCAGAAGACAATGTCCTTTTTAAAGGCTATTTATTTTTATTCTAATATGATCCTTTTCCACTAAAAGAATACTGCATCAAACTGCTATTTGACGGTTTATTAGGTAGATAAATGTAAAAATCTCTTCATTTCTTTGTGCTACAGGTATTTCTTTATAAAATTAGTGTATTAGATCAGAAAAATGGTAAAACTCTCTGAAAATCCTGCGACAGCATGCTTGTCCAGCTTGATAACCAGTGTTTAGAAACCAGCTCTCCTATCCATAACCTGTTCTGTCAATGAGCTCAATATCTGAATTTGAATATGTTTGATGAACATCTGAATGAAGCTGACTCTTCATCAGTCAATTAAATCTGACCTTTGAACTAGCATCATCACCTTCCCCCCAGCTCTAGAGAAGGTTGAGCTGTCGAGATGCCACCCTTAAAGCCACATCCTCTTATCCCTTGGTTCTATAAAAGAAGCCAAGACTCAGCTTGCTTGCCCTTTCTAGGAAGTTTTTTCATGATCTAGTCCAATCCAACTGATTTTGCTCAAGTTTGGCTGTTGTATGCTCTATTCTAATCATGGGCTGTAAATGACTTTCATAGCTGATAGTCCAAGGCCAGTCTTTCCAAGACAGGAGAGAACACCCTGTGAGAAAAAAAAAAACCTGAAAAAAGTGAAAGGGAAAGAATAGCTACACAACTGGAAAGAATTAAGCTGTGCCTTACAATGTCGGAATGCAGATTGTGTTGGAAGAAATGGAAAATTTCCAGCTTTCCACACTTGAACCCAAACCCCCTACAGTGTCAGGAAATCAGAAACTTAAACTGTCACAAGAACTATAATGGGCTATAAAGAAAGTCTATACCACTTATCAGGGAGAAAGCCCTGCTGGCTGCCAATTCCTTACAACGGCTGTGGCTTTAGAGTCACAAAATTAAGATGCACTAAATTTTTGCATGTGACTTTGAAATGGAACATTCCCAGTGGGCTAAAAACACCATTCTCTCATGGATTAAAACTAAATTGTATCACTATCCATGCCCACTGTGCCTAGGGAAACAGCCTCAGGACTCAGAGTGGATTAGATGGGACAGATAGACAGGAGGGTCATAAGTCATCAACAAAGAAACAGACTTGCTGGAGTGGATAAATGTGATGTCTTTACCATTAGAGTTGGGTGCTAGAACACATAAAAATGACTTGAGGGAGACCATTCAGGAAAAGCAAAGAAATATCAAGTTTGGAAAATCTATGAGTCTATAATCACTCATGACTTTAGAACGTTGGAAGAGAGTACGTACTACGGTGAGTCAGTTCTGAGCAGGCACCACGTGCTGGGCTGGGAACGCCAGTCCAGGGACTCGCTATGATCACTCTCAGGGCTGTTCCGGTCCCACAGCTGGTGCATCTGAGGAGAAGCTTTGAGGCCTGCAGCCCTGCACTGTGTACCATACAAGCCTCCCCGCTCTGAATGGGTCTGCTGACCATAGATCACAATCTCCCCCTGGAGTTTCAAGGCAGCATTTTCGAAGAATAGTTTGTGATGACTTAGATACATCTAAGTTTGAAGATCTTGCAGAAGCAGCAGCCCTCAACACCCTTTTTTATGTGTACAATTCAATGCTCTTTAGTAAATGTACTGAGTTGTACAACTGTCATCATGATCCATTTTCAGAACACTGTCATCTTCTCAGTAAGATTCCTCTTGTCCTTTTACAGTTAATTCCTATTCCCACCTACAGCCCAGGTTAAGCACAGGGTATGTGAGTTCCCTTCCCTTCCCTCTGCCCCAATGTCCTCACTTTATTTACCTGCATACTGCATGGAGTGGTTATCTATGTGTTTCCTAGTAAGGAATAAAGCCTGTGTGATTAGCTGCCACGTAGAGGTCAGACACAAACGCACACGCACACACACACACACACACACACACACACACACACACACCACGACAACAACTAGGGAACCAATTTAGCACCCTCTCCATCCATCTCATCAGGGAAAAACCCAACAACTATTGCAAAATGTTTCCAACCCAGTTATTACAGGTGAGACTATGGTTTTCAAAGCTGGCAGGAAAATGGAATATTATCCTTCACAATATATATCATTTTTAGAAATCAACATCACTCAGACCACTAAACTGAGGACCCTGCCTGTGTTCCTCAAGGTGATATAGATGGATTCAGAGGTGAAAAACCAGGAGAGGATCAAGAAACTGGAGAAAATAACCATAATCAAACAGCACTGGAAGGTCAAATGTACGATTCACTTGATATTTTCTTAGCATCAAAGGTTAAACATAGTTTTAGAAAACAGGAGGAAGGAGAGAGAAATATTTTAAAATTGGTTCCTCGGTAGCCTGGGTAAGAAGTTGGGGTATGTCTTCTGTTTCTTTGCCAGCGTGTTACATACAGTGGTTACCCAGGTGTTTTCTAGTAAGAAGGAACTTACACATCTTAGTATAAATCCACCCTGTGGAGGTCAGGAGAATATGTCACCCTAATAACTCATGTTGAGTGGTAGATGAAGACTTTGTCACCTGTGCATGGAGAAAATTAGCACTGGCTACTCTGGTTCCATCTTGAAAAACCAGTTGATGATATGAGACCAATTATTCTGGCAAACATCCCTGAAATACATTTTAATGTATCCAATGCCACTTTTTTTTTTTTAACACTTAAAATTTTTTTTTAACACTTAAAATTTTCATTGACTAAAAACACTATAGCAAAATGAATTCGTACACACAAATGGCAAAACAACACTTTCTTTTTAAATTTTTCAGTTAAGCAAGAAAATGGACAGCATCTTTCATAGGGATAGGGTTCTCACCCTTAAAAACTGGAAAGATATTCCATACTGATTTTAGTGGTAAAAATCCTGTTTCATGTTGACATCACATTTCCCCACCCCTTCCTCACAAGAGAACAGCAAAAGAAAATGAAAATGTAAATTGCCTACAGAGTTGGTGTTTTGTTTTTACTTTTTGGAAGCCTACAAAGCAAACATTTTTAAAAGCCTTAAATCCCATAGTCCTCTCTCCCAACCCTTGTAACAAGTTCATATAGTTTTGCATTTTCTATATTTGAAAAAGAGAATAAAATAATAAGAGAACTTAAAACAAAAAGAGACTATTTAACATGCTTTTAATCTTCTATTTTCATAGTCACTCAATTAGATAAATTATGGTGACAAGAGTGACTGTAAAATAATGGTAGAAAGAAGTAATAATCTTGCAAAACACAGATTTCTGACTAGGCCAGACCACATTAAATTAAATTGAAGTGATTCCCACTCTGGCTCCAAAGAATGGCAGCCTCAAAAGCAAACGTCTAGAACCAATTAACAAGATTTGCACATTACCTTAAGCGAATTTCAAGAATGATCTAATGCCCTTATTTGAATTAGCAGGCAGCAAATTAAAACTGGATTGCTACCTGGTGCTTCACTGCACTGAGGAATACACTCCAATCTCCCTGCCTTACCACATTGGTGACATATACCAAACAGCGCTAAGGTTTTAAATGCAAGATAATATAATCCAATTGTAAAAGCTATTTATACACCGATCTGGGAATAGTTAACCCAGAGAAGGTAATTCTGTGCTACTCAAAGTACACCAAGTCAAAAAATATCCAAAGAGAGGATACACACCAGCAGATAGAAACCATGATCATTAATACAGTAATGCAATTGTAACGTAGATCAAGAGAAATTAAAGAACTCAGATGGCCAATGTCAGCCCATGAGTGTGTTCCCAATATAATGAGCAGCAGAAATTAAGTCTGAGAAACAAAAACTGGAAATGTGCTTCCACAACATTCTGCACACTTTGGGAAAGGAAGCTCTATATAATGTCAAGAAAATCAGCTGACAGCTCAGTCTTTCATTATAAATGACACCAATGTTTACATTAGGCCTTCATCCAACAATTAGTTAAGAAAGAACTCATCTTCAGAAAGGAAGTCATTTAATTGTGTTTAATATTAAAATAAAAAGGAGCTGGTTCCATAATTAGGTTAACTTTCCACTAAATAACTACCATGGAAATAATTCCATACTCAAGCAAGTAAGTAATAACTCAAAAGCATCTCAACTATTGGAAAGCAGGAGAATTCCAACATACACTGCCAGATACAGTCCAATTCTTCATCAAGAATATCAATACCACCAAGTTTTGCCCTGATAGGGTGCACTTTTCACTTCTTTTTTACATAATCTCCAAATCCTTCTTCTCCGGCTCCCAAATACCAAAGATTAATTCAAGTTCCACAAATTACATGACTAAGACATTCCCAATGTCAAAATCCTATATTCCAGGTATACCTATATTGAAAGTTCGTGAAGGAACATGCAACTACAGCACCAAGATTTTATAATCATACTGTTTTCCACACTGAAAGACAAAGTATACACTATCATAAAAGCTTCCCTTAAGTCAGTCTACTCCATTTTCACAAAATAACAGCATTTGCCTTACAATTCAGACAAATCTCATCAAATCAGCTTTCATGGACAGTAACTGGAGTGCAACAAAAAAGAAACTGGGGAAACGTTTTGCCTCCTCACTTTGAAGAATCTCATATGCTCCCACTCAGTAGAACAGAACTAACACTCCCATATTTTATTCATCTTCCAAAAATAGCCAGCCTTGTGAAGAAAAGGCGAGACATAATGAAGGCCAGATGCCTTACCTTCACTGGTAGCCACATTCTTCTGGGCTTTGGTCGGTGTGTGATCCGTACTTGAACTCACGTCGGATGAGATGCTTGAGCTGCCTTTGCCTAGAGAAAATAGGAACAAACAGCTTTTGAGTTTCGTCATTTCAGAACTGGACCGTGCCTTCTATTCGGTCTCATACCAAGCCATATCACTGGTTTCCAGGAAAGGAGCTATAATATTTAAAAAGAAAAAAAAAAGAGTTTATTCAGTTTTCTGCCTTATGCATAACATATCTTTTGGGAAATATCTGACCCGTGTTATAGTAGAACTAAAGCCCTCTTATAATATGGCTTGATTATAAACTCAGACAAGATTATAAAACATAGTCAAATATGATAACATAATCTCTTTTTGGCATACATGTGAATAAAAGTACATGTGGAGAACATATCTACTGCATGGATTTTTATTTGCACCCATAAATTATGCATTTCTCAGTAAAGGAAATAAGCAAATCTAAGAATGAGGGATAATCAGAGGAATAAAAGCCTGCTGCATCACTTTCAAACACAAATTCCCTGTTTTAATAGGCCTTTCTTCAAAAACAAAGCAAAAAACACTTCTTTTTTTTTTTTTTTTTTTTTGAGTTGGAGTCTCACTCTGTCACCCACGCTGGAATGCAGTGGCATGCTCACAGTCACTGCAGCCTCGAGCTACTGGGCTCAGGCGACCCTTCTGCTTCAGCCTTCCAAGTAGCTAGAACTAGAGGTATGCACCACCATGACAGGCTAATTTTTATTTATTTATTGTAGAAACCAGGTCTCATCACATTGCTCGAACCTCTGGATTCAGGTAATCTTCTCGCCTCAGCATTTCAAAGTGCTGGGATTACAGACATGAGACACCGTGCCCAGCTAACACCTCAATTTTCTAATGCAATGGATCTCAACTGAGGGTGAGTTTTCCATCCAAGGAGATATTTGGCAATGTCTACTATCATTTTTGGTTCTCACAATTGAGGCAGGGGGTGCTACTGGCATCTAGTGGGTCTTGTTTGCTTATGTTGAAGGTCATGGAACAATCCAAGTTCATGGGTAATACCATCTGGGCAGGGAAGACAAATGGCTGCCATTTCCTCTCACGATTGCCCATTGCTCACTGTGACTTACAGCTCTGAAACAAATTTGTTATTCCCACAGTCCCACCCATTTCACAGCCTCCACCCTCAGAGTTAGCCAAGACAATGCAGTAACTCTATTAGTTTGTGTCTAGCCAGCCTTTGTGGCCTGGCAGGGGTCGCCATGTACGTACCATGGTGCACCTTTGGATGCAGATTGACATGGTAGACCAACTACCTAGTTAGAAGTATGCCAACCTGGTCTCTGACCTCAGTCTGCCAGGCCCTTGCTTTTTGACCTTGGACATTCACTTCTCCCCCTAGAGGTTCAGTGTCTGCATCTGGTAAGAGAGAGGGTTGGACTGTGATTCCTAGCAGCTCAAACACTCTATGATTATTTAAGTCCATTACTTTATTTCTCAAGCCTGAGTAATGCAAACACTTCCTTTAATAGGACAAAACATTATTGTGCAACACCAATATATAGATTTAAATTATTTTTATTGTATTGTTGCTTAGTGATGCATACATGGAAAACTAGAAATAAACCCCATATGCTCTAGCTCTGATTCAACAATAAACCCTAAATAAAATAACAAAGTAAATGCAAAGACAATAAAACCCATAAAATTCAAATTAACAGCATTAATTTAACATGATAGACGATGTTATTTTGCTGTAATTAAATTGCCTTTCAAAACTTAAATACAGTACAGGCTGCTAAAGACAACGTTCTCTAGGTTATGGATGCTCACGCCACCCCAGGCTGTGTAAGAACTAACCCTGCCCTTCAGCTTCCTCCCTTTGAACTTAGGAGCTCTGCCCTCCTACAGCAAGATGATATCAGCTGGCCTTCACTTGGTCTGGCTGTATCATTCACACTTTTTTTTTTTTTTTTTTTTGAGTTGGAGTCTCACTCGGTTGCCCAGACTGGAGTGCAGTGGCTGCTCACAGCCACCCTAGCGTCGACCTGCTGGGCTCCAGCAATCCTTCCGCCTCAGCCTTCCAAATAGCTGGAACTACTGGTGCACACTACCACGCCGACTAATTTTTTATTTATTGTAGAGACGAGGTCTCACCAAGTTGCCCAGGCTGGTCTTGATTCCACAGGCTCAGACAATCCATTCACCTCAGCCTCCCAAAGTGCTGGAATTACAGGCTGAGCCACCAAGTCCAGCCCATTCACATTTTTAAGTCTACTCTTCTCTTTGTTATTAGCCAACAATCATGGAAATAGAACTGCTTCCTTAAAAGATAGGGGAAACTTGAACAATGAAACCTCATGGCAGACTGTTATGAAGTGGACTCAGGTAAGGTGCTCTTGCCTCTAATCTCAGCACTTTGGGAGGCTGAGGCAGTAGGATTGTTTGAGCCCAGAAGTTCAAGACCAGCCTGAGTAACATAGCAAGACCTCATCTCTACAAAACATCAAAACATTAGCCGGGTGTGGTGGTGTACACCTGTAGTCCCAGCTACTTGGGAGTCTGAGTCAGGTGCGCTTAGGAGGTTGAGCCATGATCATGCCACTGCCCTCCAGCCTGGGTGACACAGTGAGATCCCAACTCAAAATACATAAAGAGGAATCAGTATACAGTTATTCATTTTTAAAAGATTTTCCTCAAAAGGAAAGATTGTCCTCAAAATGAAAGCACAAAATAAATCAACAAATGCCAGAGAAAATTTTTGGACATGCCTGACCCCTCAGAGGACCACAAGCTCCAATTTAAGAAATGCTGGTCTATGAAGAAAGCAAATAAGGTTCGGGAAACAAATAATATTATTAATGTTACTTATCATAATCGTGAACATCAAGTGCATAAGGTACACTGTGTACTCATAAATACTCAAGATGCTTTCTCTTATTAAATAGTTATTATGCCTTATAACAGTATTTCTCAAACTTTTTTTCATATTGCACCCTTTGAAGAAACTTTCTAGACCTTTTTTTTCTAATTCCCTCCCATGAAATTGTAACACCACCAACCTGCTGTATATCTGTTATGTGCTGTATATATATTTCCACTTTATAAATTGGCTCCTGGGGGTGTAAGATAGTTCAACTCTGGGAACCAATTTATGTCCTCTTGGAAACAATAGCACTCCCATTGAAAATGTGTGCTCTTTCATTTCAATAATCAGCCTGATGTGAATGGACTAAACGTACCACTGAAAGGACAGAATGGTGGACTAGATAAGAAACCATGAGCCCATTATTTGCTGCATCCAGGAGACTCATCTCACTACAAGGGATGCACCCAGACTCAAAGTTAAAGGGTGGAAAATGAGTTTCCAGGTAAATGGATCACAAAAGAAGGCAGTGGTTGCAATCTTAATATCAGAAAATGTGTGCTCTTTGATAAGTAAAACATTTTGTAATGCCTGAGAATTTAATGAAATCAGTAATTAAGGAAAGCAAGATAACGAGAGATAAAGACAGGGGATTCCCATCTTTCCATTCTATAGAGTCTCCACAAACACTGAATTAGCAAATTATTGCCCTGAAGGGAAATAAAAGGTTGAGTTCCTCTGAGCCTTTGGTCACATTTTTGTCAATCGATCAATACGTAACCTTGCTTTACGTGTGTTTCTGTTTAAAGACATCCTACTTAACATATGTTGTTGCTTCATTAACATTGCACTCACAGCCAACAACACTGTAATTCATGTCTGTACAAAGCTTATCTAACTCACAGAGGTGACATCACAGCCTTCCTGCACTTGGGGATGCTAGACAGCTCTTCAGCATTACACCTGGGGGCATTTTAAACAGCAAAAACACCTACAAAAAGCACAAAATTAAAAAAAAAAAAAGTGCCACTTGATGAACACTCATGGGCAGCAACATGAGAGCTGAAACAGGAGGGCAGAGCATCATCACGTTCAACCTCACCCAGAAACAAGTGCATTGGGCAGTCCAAACTTCTCACTGTTCTGCAAATATCTGTGAATGACTATGAAAGTGCCTCAAGGATTGATTCTGGGATTACATATAAATTTTAGCAAGTAGGAAAACTCTCAAATATTTAATTTGCAAATAATGAGGATCAACTATATGCAATCTTGTATTATATGGGGTTTTGCAGTTGGCGACCAGATTTCATATGGCCTGGGATGGGATCTGGAGTCAGGATACCTGGGTTTATACCTGGATTTGCCACTAACTAGTCTTGAACAAACTATTAGACCCTCTCAGTTCTAGTATCTTTGGTTTCTTCGGCTCTTAATGGGGTGGGATGGGAGACCAAGTTTTGCCTCGTAGAGTTATCATGAAAATTAACTAAGATAATCCAGATAGAACACTAAGGATGGTGCAGGCACCTAAAAATAGCCAATAAATCTTAGTACACTGTTAATGAGGTTTCTGCTTTGTATACTATCAACATGCTCTTTTCTTCTGCCTTGCTTCTGGAAGCATAACCATCTCCCCAGTGAGTTCAAGTGGAGAGGGCGCGGGGGGGTGGCTAGGGCTGCTTAGGGAAGAAATGTTACAGAAGGAACTCAGAGGGAAAAAACAAGTTGTGTGTGTTCAGTTTCTAATATTCAAAAACGGAAACCTGCAGCATGACAATGTTCTTACAAGCCAAGTATGGTCTTAGGGGAAGGGACTGCCTGCATTTCTCAGCTCCTATAGCAAACCAAGGGCCAGGCCTACCAGATTAGACCCCTTAAGCTATACATAAGGAACGTCCAGTTAAGAGGGAGGTGGAGCGAAGAGGGTACAAGAAGTCCACCCTATAGGGACACAGAATGAGGAGTAGCCAAAGTATACTCCCATTTCCTCTCTCTGGGTTTCTTCTGAGATAAGAGAAGGTGTGTTAGAAAGAGGAGAAAAATTCTGGGGGTAAAAGAGTGCTGTTACCCTCAATCTCTATGATTAAATGCTGGCAAGTGTTCAGCTTCAGATTACCTCAGCCACCAGCTAGAACCATGGCCACATCAAGCTGCTGGGTAGCATGGTTGGGTTCAGGGAGGTCCCGAGCCACAGCTTCTGGGCATTACCTGGGTTTTCCGGCAACACTGACAAGACCCTCAAGTCAAGAAA